TAAAACTTAAAAACCCCAAACCCAAAACCCGATAAAAAAAAATTGTAAGTCAGAATAATTTAATCTTTCGTCACTTTTCCATTCCAGAGTACAAATATTGGAATTTATACATAGCGAAACTTTTCAAAATATTCTGAAATAGTTGGTTAAAATGTAATTAAACACTATACTTCAAATTAAAAATAAGTTCACTTAAACTACCAAAGAATCATCCAACACTTTTATGAAATGCAACAATATTAATTTCCCAACTATAGCAAAAAATTTGACTCGGGAGACTTTGAGTACAATATTAAACTACAAAATGGATGCTGAGGTCAAGTATACATCCAAAAGCAGATTTTATAAGGTTATCCAAATGTTCATATCCCACGTGAACCATAATTGAAACAAATTCCAGGTCAGACTCCCCTTCTAGTATAGTGTAAAGTTCACGGTAGACTCTCTCAGCCTTCAAAAGCACACAAAGCCCGTGAATCATCAAAGCACCACTCTAGAACAAGTTAAAATTAATAAAGAAAACATACTTTAAAAAAAATTAACTTAAGAATATAAGGATGGTGGGAAACAGCTGCTTACTTCTCCAAAAGGGAATTGTCTACCAGGAAATTTTGCATCAGGAAAACAACAAGTCGTCGAAAATGCCGAGGATCTTTTGCTATGCATGCATGAACATCAAGAACAAGAAGAACAACCTATTAAATAAAAAAACATAAACAATCAGTGACAGTTCAAGTGAGTTTTGATGTGCAAAGTGAAGAACGCTCCAATTAAGAATAGGACAAACTTCCAAAAAAAAACATTACTTTTTATTCTGTAGTCAAGAATCAGGAGCCAAAAAAGTACATATGACAAGTACTCCCACAACAAATACCCAATCTTTTTGCAGAGATAAAAAGCATTACTCTAACAAATGAAGCAAGGAACATCTGAGGGAGAATAGAAAAACACTCTAAACAGGAAAATTAAATATAAAAACATCAACCAAGAATGGCACAAAAATTTCCACTCTTTTGCATACTCTGATTACCGGATATGGTCATGTCTTGATCTGTAAATTTACTCGAACTCCCATACAAACCTCCCCTACTAGTGCACCATTCTCAAAACCATTTGATCAAATTGGATTGGTGTGTCTACATTTGACATCTCCATGTTTTTCCACAACCAGAGGGTTTGGATTGTTGGCAAACTTGAACTCGGAGGGTAATGACTTGATGGACTGGAAGGCAGGCAGGACACTTGATTGCGAATTGCCATTAACAAAAAAGGTTACCATCGCCAATTGCAAATTGCGAAAAAAACAAAAACTCATAACATTTTTTTAAAAAACAAAAAAGCTAACTTTCCATACAAATGAGCCTTTCAAACTTTAAACAAGGCCCCCAATGAATGACTTTATCAGGATAACCCTAGCTCCACATAGACACTCTACTCTCCGCTCCTCTAGTCCAGTGCTCCATGCTTTAAAGTCCTCATCGAATCATCACGTTCAACCGCATTTCAAGCTGTAAAATTCAAAATCATTAACCTAACACATCCACACTCCCACTCGGCTAATTCAATGGACCCAAGCTTAATCACCTTCCCTCAAGGTTGAAAATTCCACCTTCAATCTTTCTTTTTCTTTTTTCTTTTTTAAATTACTACAACATCCACACACAAATAGATCTTATCTTGAACACTTTCAGTTCAAACATAAATATCTGACAAAGTATAAAAAAGAAAATCATAAACACTGAAAACCTAAAAATCAAAAGATGAATATCAACTAACTCGAAATGCCTCACTTAGAAACTAAAATTCAAGATGACAACAACAAAAAATTTCAAACAACAATCCTCATTTTCTTCTGTTATCCCCGTATTACGTGCCGCGAAACAAAAAATGAGAAAAAAAACGATGAAAATAGAAACAGAGAAAAAGAACGGGGAAAACAAAAACACTCACGAAATTACCAACTCGTTCAGATGTTCGTGAAGCGAATCCACTAACCTGAGAGAACTTTGGAAGAAGACTGTGTGAGATGAAGATCTTGCAGTAGGGAGATAATGCCAGAAGAATCGTTGAGCATTAAGCGATTCAGAATTCAGAAAGATTGAGAGAAGAACAAAAAAGAAAACAAATGTGTTCACGGAAGAGTATCAGCCTCACAAGCCCACGTTTGGTTTGGTTCATCGCACAACGAACATATGAAGAAGAGAAGATGAATTTCAAAGAAACAGCTCTTTTGGCTTTGCTTTTTCGAACTCCCTCCTAGGCATAATAATCACACAAATAGTTAAAACGTTTAAAAAAAAAGGAGGGAGTTTCTTTTTAAAACCTTTTTTTATTTTATTTTATGGTTTTCTTTTTGCTTCTTACTTTAAATTTTAAATTTAAATTATTTGTCACACCTAAGCGTTTTTTCTTGACAAGCGAGTTGAAAAGAAATTTTAGTCAGTACAATATTTTCGCTGGAGTTTTTGAATTGACAAAACTACCCTTTCAGCTAATAGCTTCCACGTTAATTATTAGGTAAAAGTATTTTTACTTAGTGTTAATTTAGGTATTAAAAAATGTTAAATTTTTTTACTTGTGCATTTAAAATTTTTATATTTTTAAATAAGTATTTCTTGTATATTTTTTACTAATAAAATTATATAATTATTTTTATATTATATTAATACTTCTCGTATTCCGAACAACCTTGTTCTCAAGGTGAAAGTCTGAAAATTGATCACAAATAGTCCCTTCGCCTTTTCATGTAACACTATTGAATAATAAGCTAAGGGACTGATATCCCATAGAGTTGTTGCATCCTGTAATTCAAGACTTTCAAAGGAAGACAGCTTCGTTCGGTTTCTTGGAGTTTTGCTAAAAGGTCATGTTTAACGTTATCGATACCTATGGCATGTTTAAGTTGAAAGACATGAAAGACATGATGAATTCAAACTATGGCATGTTTAAGTTGAAAGACATGAAAGACATGATGAATTCAAACCGTCTCTGGCAGTTGGAGGCAAAAAGCCACGGGACCAGTCTGTTTAAGAACCAAAAAAGATCATAAAATCAGGGTGAAAGCTTGGGATGCAATCTAATAGACATGGACAATTGCCTATGGTGTCGAATCTTCAAATAAACACAATCTCCAACCTGGATTGAAGATGACATTTTCTTCTTGTTGGCATATTTCTCTTGCGTCCTTCCTAGATGTTATTTCAATTGAATAAGAGCCTCATCTCTAGTCTAAGATCCTGTGTCACAGCTTCAACAATTGTTTTTCCTGGAACAAAGTGAGTGATAGCTATAGAAGCACGTCCATAAACAATCTCAAAGGGTGTGCACTTGGCAGACCCTTAAAAATTGATGTTATATCAATATTCTACCCAAGGAAGGATACACACTCATTTCTTCGGTTACTCGTAACTAAAACACTCTAAATAAGTCTCCAACACCTGCTTAAGCACTTCTGTTTGGCCATCCGTTTTAGGATGATAAGTTGTGCTCGTCAACAATTTTGTACCTTGAAGTCTAAATAACTCTTTCCAGAACAAACTCAAAAATGTAGTCTCCCTATCACTGACCATGGAAGTAGGGATGTTATGTAGACGCACAATTTCCTAAACAAACACTTCACCAATAGACCTAGCAAAATAGGGATGTTTGATGGGAATAAAGTGCTCATATTTGTTGAGCCGATCCACCACTACTAAAACTGCATCATACCCATTGAATTTGGGTAGCCCCACCGTAAAATCCATACCAATTTACTCCCAAATTGCTTAAGGAATGGGAAAAGGTTGCAACAACCCTTTTGGGAAAGAAGTTAGATACTTATGTTGTTAACATACCAAACACGCTATAACAAAATGGGTAATGTCCTTCTTCATTCACATCCAATATAAAGATTGGGCCAACCTTCTATAAGTCTTGAGTATTCATGAATCCACAGTTTAGGTGACATAAAACTTAGCTATTAACCGCTGAATTAAATTTGAATTAGCAGAAATCACTAACCTGCCATTGTAATGTAGTTTTCCAAGTTCCAGTGTGAAATGGGAATGTGAGGCTAGATCGGATTCCAAATCTTACCTGATCTTGGGAAAAACAGAATTGATAATGCCCCTGATTAAATCTATTTCGGCTATAATTAGAAATTTGTGATTTAAATGCCTTTTGAGAGGTAACTCCTGTGATGTACTGAATATGCCTTCAAAAGTACCTACAATTTCCTACAACTTTGTGTTTTGCTTGGTTGTTAATTGGTTTTGTTCCTCACATCACTTCTTCAATTATACAATACCCAACTCCTAAACTAATATCACCACTTCAATCTCCTTTTCTTTTCTTCAATTATACAATACCCAACTCCTAAACTAATATCACCACTTTAATCTCCTTTTCTTTTAACAAAGTTGCTAGAGTCACCACTCTCTTGGTTAAAGAAGGTTCCCTTTTATTGAAACTTCCTTCTCTCCTTAAATGAAGCGCATTATTAATTCCTTCCAATTAATTTTTACCTCTTCAAGTGTAGTTAACCAAGCAACTCCCAATATAACATCCACACCTCCTAATTTAAACAGTTAAAACCATTCCTTGACCTCTAATCCCTCCAACTTCAAAGTTAATTTTTTATAAATCCCACTAGTAGTCTTTTGATGACCATCACTTAGACTAACTTTATAAGGATAAGTTTCTTCCACTGCAAAACCTAATTCAACCACTAATTATTCTGAAACAAAGTCTTAATTAGATTCTAAATCAAAATTTTCTTTTCTAAGATTTAGTTAATCCCCTTTCTCTAAGTTGAACCCTAATCACAACCTTTTTTTCCCAATTTTAGGTTCTCTTCCTTCACAGCCAAACCCAGTTTTGGATTCTTCTATTTTCTTTTGATCATTTTTTCTCTCGGACAAAACCCAATCCTAGGGCTCTTCGTCTCACACAAGATGCAGATTAGGGGAGCATAAGCACCCACCTTCATCTTCTCTTCACTCAATTTTTGTTTCGTTTCGCAAGAGGGAGACGCTGATCCACTACAAGAAAAAAAATACTTTCATTTATAAGACAATAAGCTAGACCAAGGGCCTCCTTTCATCATTTTCCACTGCAGAATTTATATGCTTTATGACAATATTATCATGCAGAATTTATATGCTTTATGACAATATTATCAGTAATTTGTTTTACACTGAAGATTCTCTAAAAAGATTAATAGAAATCAAAAAAAAGTTGTTTAAAGAATATTTTTTATTACAAAATTATCGTTAAATTGTTTTATAATCAAAGATTTTTTTAAAAATAATTTTAATAATAATCAAAGCAAAACTATTTAATGATATATACGTTTTCCAAATGATATATAATTTAACCATGAGATACATCCTTTAATAACTCATGTTTTATTTATCCATTTTATAAAAAGCATGCATCTTTCACTATCTCACCTTTTATTTAAATAATTGTATCCCTTAATAATAAAAAGATATATACATATACTGAGTAACTGGACACCTCTTCCACAAAGAAAAAGAATAAAAAAAGCTCCCTAACTTTTTCATTTAAAAAACAATCTCTAACAATTTTTTAAACCATTTCTATAGAATTGTTTATTTTCTAAAATTATATTATTTAATTTATTACAAATACGAATACATAACCACAAAGCTGCATATAATTTCATTAGTAATATATAAATAAAATTCTCTTGATTAATGTGGACAAATTTTATTCACTATACAACAATAAGAACACTGATGTAAAAAGATTAAAACAGTAAAAAGCACAGTGGGAAAAAAGTACAGAAAAGAAGCCAAAACAGTGGATAAAACTACAATGATTATTTAATCCAAGTACTACTTTCTGCAGACAAAAATATCTTTCAGATACATTCTATGATACTAAAGCACATTCAGAGGAATAGATAAGAGAGAATTAATGAAAATGAATAATAAAATAATATTATTCTACTAGGGTAGCTTCCTCGGAATCCTTAATCTATAACCATTTATCGTTTGCTAATAAACATAGCTAGTGAGAAAGCACTGAGAGATTAGTTTCGAGCAAGTACACAAATCATACAGTTGACACGAACACAACATGCAGTCAAGTTATACATCACAATAAAAAAAAGGCTATTTAGTCAAGTCTTATAATTACTTCTATAAAGTGATAATTTCACTTGTTGCCGTACTTTATTAGCTTCATGCACAATAAACATATGAAACGATCAAGGACAGGGTGCGAATGGACAGAGTGTTTGCTCAGTTATCATTCAGTTAACATTATCATCAAACAGCAAGTACACATCCCAAGTGAATTTAAGAAGTAAAAACAAGTTAGGGACGTAATTTCTCTAACCTCAAAACACATATTCGGCATTTCAATCAGAAAACCCTGCTTCCAATACATTTCTGTATGTATAAGATCCCTTTCCCTGTATTCATCTAAATTATTTCAATTGACTATGCTAAAAAATATTCATCTGGTGAGGGAAGCAGAGAAGGTAACCTCATAAGCGGCTAAAAACAAATTCAGTTTCAGCACAGTTCTACTTCCCTTGCACGTTTTTTCTCTTTTCAGAGGATTCCCTCAAAGCATGTACTTCTGTTAAGAGTTCAACGATGGTTAATTTAAATACAATTATAGAACTTAAACTTTCTGAATAAAAAAAAGGTTGAAGAATTATTTAATTGGATTCCAAAACAAATTTCCATGAATTCCAACAATGCATTCATACGCACCATCAACTGAAATATTAAAGATGGATAACATGTCACATGGGCAGAAAGCAACAGAGAAATTATGAAAGATGGATACCTGGCTGGCATACTTTCCAATTCCTGTGTGATCGAACAACACAATCCTGAAAAATAAAGAAAAGGAATCCTCTAGGAATGGCCAGATCAAAGAATCTTAAATACGAAGGTTTAGGATTTTAGGGAGGGAAAATAAGTAATTAACAAAAACAATGAAGTTAACCTGCATCAAGCGATAGAGAGAAGAACATTCATTGAGCTGATTTACGTTCCCTTCATCCTGTCCGTATCGCTTTGGTGAATGCCTTGCGGCGACGAAGGTGGAGGCGGCGGCGCCAATCGTTTTGCTTCGCTCCGGTTCTCCGACAATTGCTCCATTTTAACTGTGCAACAGTTTCACAAAAACCAAAACTCATAAAACTCTTCGGTTTGGAAGACGCCTGAGGAAGAACACCGATGCGCGGCGCGAGTTCGATTTGAAGGTTCCTCGAAGCTTCCTCTAGAGCGAGAAAGGAAACACTAGAACCCTAAGACTTAGGGTTTGTTCGGTGGAAAACCCTAAACGGAGGAAGAACTCAGATTCTGGACCGATTAAACACTTGAAAAGAGATTGAACCGATTAATCGGTGCAGAACAAAGATTGACCGGTGGAAATGAAGGTTTAAACGGTGGAAAGCGAAAATAATCGGTGAGAAAGGCTTTTAAACGGTTGAAATTGAAGGGAAAGGTATGATGGAGAAAACCCTAGGTCGATGAAGATGTTCGGTGGAAAAGGCGAAAAAATGAAGGAAGATGATGAATTTTTAATGAAAATGAAACTTACGAAGAAGAAATACGAGATTGGATAATTGA